CCGATGTTACTCAAAGTTTTGCAACGGAATACTCCTTAGGGTTCTCCAGTGAACAGAAGCAGGCCCTCCTTCACTGCCCACATGCATTAAAGAATTTTGTCTTGCTTCCTTTTATTTTTTTTTGAATTTTCTTTTCTTTTCTTTCGATCGCCTCTTACTTTTTCACACTTGTGCGCATGTTAACAATACAGCCTAAAACAAAATACAACAGATAAACAGTGTTACCTTTTCAATACGATTGGTCGGAGTATTTCTGGAACAACAGCGATAACAATATTGTACACAACAAGACTCATTAAAACAAATTTTGACAGCAACATTAACAGAAACTCGAACACATTTCAAACAAGACCACTGCATCTAGCGTTTTTTTCTTTTCCCATGTTTCCTAACCGATATTTGCAACTCCGTTGAGATGAATATGGCACGTTTTTGAAAAAACACGTTTGCTTTTCTAATTGCCTTGTGCGCGTTTCAGGTTTACAGTAGAACAACTATACAAAAAATGTCCGCAGAAGAAGATAAACGATTCGTGGTAGAGAGTGAAGTGCAACTCATGGAGCGGCAAAAGACCAAAAAGACCAAGAATACTGATCGGGGCGAGGTCCCACTATCAAGCGATCAAATTGCTGCACTGGCAAAGGAATGCATACCATCATGGATAGAAAGTGGGACAATTCCGAAACCGCCTGTTGAGCTTTCAGACGGTGGGCTTCCGTTATTGATTGCCGATAATGTTGAACATTTAATGTCCCAGATAAAACTAAGCTTATTTTCAGAAGTGTATGCTCCAAGCATACCGTCAAGAGGCCACCAATTCTGTATGGTGTGCGGAAAAGCACAAGAAATTCACTAGTTTAACAGGTCATATACAGGATAGCCATGAGGAATTCGCGGAGAAATGGGAGATACAGGTGAACAGTTTGCCGTCCTAGAGTACGGGGGTGATAAGACTGTTCCTTCTTTTTTGTTTAGGTTCTAGTGCACACGGGTCGCGGAATGCTAGAAAGAACGAAGGAGGCAAGCGTTGACTTCGCGCGGATACCGGAACCAAGGACTGACCAGAAGTGGGACACGTACGAAGAAATAGTGGCTCAACTACAAGACGGCGGGGTTCCTATTTATGGGGTCCTCTTCATCCATACAAATCACATCTTTTCTTCTTGCTTCATCCATTCATCATCGCCACATCAAGGTGCAGTGTTACAGGTTTTGGAGCGACAAGTGGTGCTCCGTGAGCGTTATCTGGCGGCTAATCCCCAAATGCAATTCAAACAGCTGGAACTCATGGATCAAGCAGGACCGTCTGCTCAAGGGGCTTCAACATCGTTTCCATCGGTGTGAATACGCTAACTTCAGGAAATTTCAATCGCTATCTATTTTTCTAATCTGATCAGGCTGAAACTTCCCTTTTGCAGACGTTACACGCTTCCAGAAACGTTTAGTGCTCCGCACATACCGCGCGAATATGAGTACAGATTTGCTTATGACGTGCTATACAAAGGTTACTCAATCATGTGAGTTGAATTAATACAACAAGCTAACCGAATTTGCATGCAGGTAGACCTACTAATCATCCCCACGTTATGGAGGAATTTGAACGAAGAGAGCCACAAGATTTTGATACAATTCAAGTTCTATCTCAAGAGTTTTATAGTAAGAAGTTTTTGAACAGCTACAAGTCGCATGTGGAATTTTACGCAAATATTATATTTCAGCTAATCGGTGGAGAAGAGCCATATCTGAAGTCGCTCGACCGTAGTGCAGTCCACATGGCATACGTTTGTCGGTTCATGCTTATAGCGATGAGAGCACGTCAACGGTGTGTGAATCCCTGCTAGCAGTGTTCGTTTTTTGGAGAAGGACTAAAAAGTTTAGGTGCGGAAGAATTGTTACTGTGGACGATGCGCTGTTTTCTCACTGCATGGTTGCGGAATTCCTGCAAGTGACCCAAAAAACACGCAGTGACAGTCCATGTTCGAATGGGCTTTATCAAGTCGCTGATCGCTTTTCTACAAGTTCCTGAAAGTTCATATGGACCCCGGTACATTTCACAGAACTTTTTTTCACCCATTGGACTTTTTTCAACCATTTCCATACAACATATTGAACATACGCTTGTCGACAGTCGCCGGAGAAAGAAGGATACCGATTGCGATAAACGCAATTGAAATTATGAGAGACCACTATAAACGTCTGAAGAGCGAGGAAGTGAAAGCCGCATCGCACAAGGGAATCGTTTCTATGGGAAAGCCTAAAAAGGTCGGTACTCTAGACAAAGCAAGCACATGACATACTTATATAGTTCAAATTTTTGCTCTTTCCAGAGATGCGCGCTGTATGGGGCGATGCGAGCGGTCGTCAATCACC